GATCAATATAATTCGTCCTCATTTTAAGCATTTGAACGACAAGACGGGATCTACAAAAATAATACCGCTCCTCGGATACAATCTTTGCAAAAAGCTTTAAATTGACAACTATTGTAATATTCGTATATAAAAAAAAATCACAGAAAAGTTTTTATCTGTCTTTCTTGAAAATTTGATAACTCATTTCATACATTTTTATTCATTTATTAATTCATTTATTCATTCATTCATTCATTCATTCAAGGTTATTCATTTTTTATTAAATTTTATTTTTAGACATTTCTTCCAGATTGTTACTACAACCAGTATATGTAGGCCTACGTGCTGAGATGTAACTGTCAAATACTTACTGGATGTTGATTGGCAATAAAACCCAGAGGACGCAGTCAATTTACACAATTCATCTTCTTTACAGAATGCATTACCGCACCAACTGGGAATTGGATCTAAAGAAAAGAAGTTTTACTAATTCAACACATTTTTTTAACTCTCAGACCAATGGCGAATATAATAATGATATTTATAATAGACCACAATGACAGAGTATGGTGTAATTACAATTCCATTCGCTGCTCTATAAATTTTGGGTTTCAGCTGGAGGAGTGAAATACGAATTACGATAGGCACCCCACTTTTGGACGAGCCGCTTAAGAGGTTGTCCTGTGTGCAATATGACGTCAAAAAAGGCAGTGCACTCTTCGGAAAACAAAAATAGAGGATTGTATTGTGAAACTATTGAATAGTGAATAAGTAATTCCAAGTGAACATATTTGATTATATACTGCAATCGACAAATATTTTTGTCAATTTCCATTAACTAATTTTAAGCCTAATGTATTAATGTATTAATTCACTTTTTTGGTTCAAATTTATATTTTTCTATTAAATAGATTTTGGTAAAAATTTAAAATTCTTAATTTGTATATGAGTTTGTTGCAATCAAATTAATGTATTTTGATAGAAATATATATTTTTATAATGATGTATATTTTTGTAGCGATTAGTGATGTAGGTAATTCTTTTAAAATTTTAATGACAACTGTACATAGACTGAATTGTTCGCTTATAATACATTTAAATTATGTTTCTTTGTTGTATAATTGACTTAATGTAAGTCATATTTATAATCCTTGATGTTTTAGTTTAGACATACATTATTTCATTTGATAACTTGTAATTTTCTTTCGTTTTGTAAATTCAGATAATTTTTAACATTTCTTTGTTACCTTCTCTGTGTTTTTATACCAATAAATAAAACAATAACAATATCCTGGTGTACTGCCAAATTAACTACCGTACCAGAAGGACATCACTGGTAACAAGTCTTGTAAGTTGGTGGGCTAGGGGTCACGCACAATTAACGAAATTTCGCAAATTTGTAGAGTAAAAACAGTACTCTTTTTCGGATACGCCCTCCCTCCCCTCTGAATGTGTACATCGATAACTTGCGAAACCATTATAATAATTGCTGCGAAGCAGCCAATTCATATTCTCGACAGCAATTTGACCTCTGAAAGGTCATTGTTTGTCCAAAAAAATGGCCTAAGACAACTGAAAAGCGGAGTTTCCTTCTTTCGTTCTGCCGGGTAAAATCAATTACTTTAGGCGACGTTTGTAGACTAACCTACTCGTACCAACGTCCGCATGTCGTGACGCTGGAGTACTATTCAGCGTTTTTAGTATATTTCTAGGTTTCCTATTTCTACGTTTAATCGGCTCATGTCTCAGCCACAATATTTTGAGGCCAATATTATTTACGAACCCAGTTAAACTTATTTACTAGCCTATTTCAACGTGCTAATTATTACATTTAGGCGACGAATAGTGTTTTCGGAAATAAATACCATTTTATACACATGCGCAGATCGATTCGCCAGCAGCGAGTCATCGCCAGCAGCAGCGAGTCGCCAGCAGAGAGATGTCACTACAACAAAACACTATTGTACACGGTACCAACGCTGTTCTAATATAGACAATGGGTCGTGCTCATATTATTTGTTATATTTTTATTATTAATTATTTTCACTTGACTCGCATAAATAATTTTGTTCGAAGAACATTTTATGCAATTGTACTTCGCAGCACTTCACTTGCAATTTGCAATTTCTAGTAATATGTCGCTCTTATATAGCGCTTCATGCACAATGCCTCTAAGCGCTTCACATTACTACCCCGGTCATTGGATCAAACACATTATGGAAACATACTCAGCTCCCTGGGGAGAATTCCATAATATTGCAGCTATAGTAATCAGCGCAGTTGTGTTCCAACCTACCAGGTTATCCGTTGTTTGTGTAGTGAACTAACAGCACACGGATGCATGACACCTTGTACAAACTATCAATTGTTTTTTTATCACAAACATGTGACATGCCTAAATATAGTCATGATGACATCACACCATGACCATATATAGGCACATCATGACTATATATGGGCATAAAACATGTTTTTGTCAAAGAAATTTTGATAATCTGGACAGAACTTTCTAGTATTTCAAATATTGCACGTTATTTTCAATATACTTTTTCAATCATATGTAAAAGTGCACAAAGTTATATAATTCATATATTTATAATATAGGCCTACATTCAGCTAAACTTAGTTAAATCCTCGATTTTAGAATGACAAAACAAATAATATTAAGCCTACCTGAACATTTAAGCATGACGTCATAATCATGAGTACACATATTGATGCCCCAATCACCATGGTTACAATCAGCTATAGAATTCTCAGAACCGTTACACGAAACATCAGATAAATGTATCGGTCCGGTCCCAGGATTAGTTTGCGGTACACTACTGTTAAGAGGAGGGGGTCCTAACCCCAGTGAACGGCAAGCAACACCTGCGTCAATCTTTGTAGTCCAGGATGAAATGCAAACCGTCCCCCATTGGCCGTCATGGTAAATCTCTAATCTGCCTTGCCGAGGTGACGCTCCGCCGACAAGGCGAATGGAATGTTCTATAAGAAAGTAAGTTCATTGGAAATCACATTTTCTAAGAAACAATTGACAATCTATGGTTATGATTGAATAATTGATTGATTGATTGATTGAATGATTAATTAATTAATTGATTCTGTTGCATTCGAGCCTACCTTCAAATTCTTTGCAGCGGATTGACGCAGTTGCGTTATAATTTGTTTGCAGCATTATTTCGGAAACCGTCGGGCAATCGCGCACGTCAATTTCTAGTCCGTTACAGGCAATGCCTTTTACAAAGCAGCCATATTGATTGGTTGAAAACGTTGAATGAGTGATAAGTGAACCAGATATACTCTTAGCGTAAGCAAATCCTATGCTTCTGCAAATTACGTTGTTGTTTTCAAAAGTGACGTTGTTATTACAGATAAAATCCCATTGTCGTGTGACCGCATTGTAGACTTTTGGAACGCCCTCATTAGCGGTATTTCCTCCCATTAATAGTATTTGTTTATCTGAAACATAAATAGCATTACATGTTCTAATAAGTCTTCTGCATAGAACGTCATAGCTATATTTCACAAGTCAGTACAGTGGTTTACGCCTACCTTCGTAGTTCGTGGCACATTGAATGCAGATGGAAGTATCATACTGATGTTGTTGACCAGGAAATTTCGTAGAACAATTTTGAATATTTGCCTCTGAGCCGAGGCATTTTACTATCATCTTGTGAAAACGTTTTGGAGCAGGCGATGTAATATAGCCAGTACCACAGAGACTAACAGATTCAGATTGGTAGCCAAGCGAACGGCACACCACACTTGATTCATTAAGACTCCAATTTTTGTCGAAAATTGCGCCCCATACGTTGTTAATGAAGACTTCGACTCTACCTATAGTTGCTACTTGACCGCCTACCAACCTGACATCATAATCTTAATATAAAAAATGCGAATTGAGGTTTTAAACAATAAGGAATATGATTTCCGGATATAGGCATATACATCATCAAGGAAGAGATTGGGTATACTGATAAAAGTTGCGGTAATCTTTAATTGGCTTGCGTGTTATTACAAGCTTCATGAAATGTGCTCCTCTAGTTCTATTAGACCATAGATTCAATTACATATATTCAATTAAAAACACTATACGCAAGCATCAGAATGATCATTTTAGCATTATGGAGTAATGTAGGCCTACATAATAAAATCTGTGTATATATAATTATGAGCGATTAAAATCGGTGTGTGTATATATATAGCGGTTACATATCGAATGAGGGCGGAAACATAAAAAAGCAGGCCTACAGACGATAAGAAACTAAAGCATGACGTCATCAAACTTATCATTTTAATCACTACAGCTTAGTGAATGAACTCTCATGTTTAGTCTTCATACCTTTGTAACGATTGCATTTAATTGCCACATCTTGACTATGACTACAAGTATGTATACCCCAGTCCTCGTGCTGACATTCTGATAAGCCTTCTTCGTCCCCAGAACAAATGACGTCATCAAGGTGAATCGGTTGACCATCAGATCCAGGTATTGGATTAATTGTGGCATTTGCGCTTGGATACCCCATCTGTTTACACGCCACCTGGACGGCGTTTGACTTCCATCCATCCATACATAGAGAACCCCATTTGCCATAATAATATATTTCTAATCGACCCTCATTGGCACTTTTCCCGTCAACCAGCCGTACGTCTCCATCTACAGATAAAAAAGAAGTTAACGCTTATAACAAGGAGTATCTTAGAAAATTATTTTTAAAAATTCAAATTTTAATAAACCGTACCACTAATAAGTATTCCAAATGTATATGGAACGCCATTAGGCCAAATAACTAACCGTTGCCATTTTTGCTTCCACAAACAACACCGACTGCAGGTTTTCCTTGGCTGGAGTCATACTTTGAAGTTGCTATCTCATAAACACAACTTTCTAAACTTGTTTCATGACCCTCACATTTCACGTCTATCATGCTGTATGACCTACTTTGGCCGTCACCAAACCTTCCATCAGTCACAGCGTCGTAAGCTGTCTCAAAGCCCAGGGACCTGCAGACAACATCAGCTTCTTTTAGTTCCCAGTCAGTATTATTATGGTTTTTGATTGGAGACCACTTATCATGAAGCAGTACTTCAATTCTGCCCTCATTTGGCGAGTTACTGCCAACCAACCTAACCTGCAAATCTGATGAATATACATAGCATGGTTTATGATATGATTGTAATTTTAATAAAACGTACAGGACATAGAAGATTAGACCTGGATAACATAACATCACTACACGCTATCACCGACCGCTGTCGGTGACACTATCGGTCGGTCGACCAAAGAGCCTCCCCAATTGCGTCAAGACAGCTACGAGCGTAGAGGTTGCAGTGAACACTAGCGACAGAGTAGCGATTTTATGGAAACCCAACTTATGTGTAATGGTAACCGTTAATATTTGCCGCTAGGGTACTGTATTTAGTTTTTAAACAGTTGTGTACTCTTAAATAAAGGCTGCGCCTACGGACAATATGTTTCAAAAACAAGGGTAGAACATTTAATTTTCAGTACCGGTAGTTTATCCAACCCACCACGATGAATGAAGTCCCAGGCCCCAAAAAAAATAAAATTATATACTTACCTTTCTTTGGAAGACAAGTCACACCAACGGCACGACCGCCACTGCATGTAGCTGCTGTGGTAGCGTTGAAGACTTCATGTCTACAGTACCTCAACCCGCTCTCCGTTCCCAAACATGTGACGTCATTTAGATGCACCTCTGACGATTCCCCAAAGTCAACTGAAGGATGAGTAGCGACAGCTGCAGCAAAGCCCAAATTACGACACACAACAGTTGCATCATTAAGGATCCAATTTTTATCACAGATACTGCCCCAGGTTCCATGAAGAAAAATTTCAACCCTTCCAGAATTTTCAGAACCGTCTGTTAACCTCACATGATAATCTGAAAAAGAATCGTGCATTTTAAATTACAAAGGCGAAGTTCCATTTGATTATAAGAATGGTAGTAATTGTTCTTTACTTTGTTTCGGAAACACTGCATTTCTTTTTATATAGTAATTAAATACATGATTACTAATTAGTCTCGTTTTAGGAATACAAAAGTAGAAAAGGAAAAAACCATTAGTGTTTCTTACCCGAGGTATTTTCTGGTTGGCAAATGACGCCAACGTCTTCGTCATGGTTATCGTCGATGGGCCTCGAGTACTGACAGTCAAGAATGGTAATCTCCCTCCCGGTGCATTTCAAATGCGTCATATGCACCTGCATTGAGGTACCTTGTCCAAAGTATCCAATTAAAGGATACGTTACAGGAGCACTGTATCCTAATTGTCTACAAATTACATGTGCTTCAGATTCACCCCAACCACTGCTGTGGACCGTTCCCCAGGTTCCGTTGATTCGAACTTCCAGGCGTCCCATCTCTGGCGTTGTGCTTCCCGCGAGACGAACTGTTACTTCTGTAATATAGTAAAACAACTTTAGACAATATATCTTTTAAATTAATAAAGGATAATATAAATAGTTATACTATAAACATCCATTATAGGCCTAATCTAGAAACACTCCTGTAAGCCTAGCGCACTCTACTGTGGTCAAACATTACCAATGGGAGGGGAAATTAATGGGAGCTTTTGGGGAGGTCGTATGCTACTGGTTGCAATTGGCCCTAAACACCTTTATAAATGAAGGTGATCCAGCGAAAAAGTATCGTTTGTTTTCGATAATCTCGGACGTTATTACGTCACATAAAGATTTCTGCACATGCGACGATTAGTTTTGTCGTCTGAATGTTAGGATGTGCAGAGAATGCAGGGATGGTGGATCACGAAGGAAGATTGAATGCGCCATTGGGTCACGTTTTCACTCAATCAAGCTCCTCCCTCCGCTCAGCTGCCACCGACGGTCAGAAGATTGGTGTTGCTTCGGGCACACAACGTGGACGAGTTTATCGGCGGCCAACGCAATTTGCCAGGCTTTAATCTGAGGATTAGGAGTCAAGTTATTGTTGCAAGTAAACATTCTGTGTGTTTGTCAAGGCTGAATCCAAAACCTTGGGATTTGAAAGTGAGCTACAATCAATATGATAAAACATTTCCACAAATCTCCCTAATTCAGTTCTCGATGATTTATTGCTCATTGAAATATTCTAAAATTAGTTCTGTCATCATTTGAGGAAACGTTGGTTTCCGTTTCAGGAATCAGGGTATAGAACAATGACTTCCAATTTTAGTTGTTTCCTGTTGTCGAACACACAAGTGAGAAGATTTTCCCGGCGCGAAAAGTGAATCCAAATAAACTCATCTGTAGCTTTATGTACCGAGTAGGCCTACTAGGAAATAGTGCATAGTAGTGCCTGAGGGAGCTTTATATGCGCATACAGCGCATTATCAATACTGTAGTTTCCAAATTGGCAGTCCCGCGTCCTCATAAGCCCGCATTATCATTATGATGTCTGATCAAAACATTCTGATCTACCAGCATGATTGGTGGTGATGTACGTAAACTGAGACGCACCGTACCCGCGCGGATGATGGAATAGCCCAGTGTACGCGCAAACGAGGATACTGCCACCAATTAGTCAGGGGCACATAGTTAACATATGTTTTTTTACCCAAACATAAACCCACGCATTAAGGCCTATTGGCTTATAGTCAAAAGAATGTAAACAGTTACTATTGCGGAAGTTTGTTATACGTTGACTAATTTTACAATTATTAAGGTCGAATAAATATTTTCCCTGCATAAAAAAATAATTGGTTAAGTAGATAATTATGTATGAAAATGAATAAGATTCCACTTCCCTGTTCAACCTTACCAGTCGTAGCCGTCACTACACAAACATTGAATACAATTCCAATAAAAACGCTTGCTTTTGCTACTGCTAGCATTGTACCGAGTCCGACCCGTCCATAAACAGTATCACAGGCCTACAACAGTAGCTGAATTGATCGTCGTCTTTCAACGCCATTAACAATATCGATGGGAATTACTGTCATCAAAACACGATGAGTTCTTCATAACAATCATATTGTTACATAAACCGCAGATAAATCGAAGTCAACCAGGCATGCCAGAGGTTCAAAGAGCCAGTGTAGACGATCTTGAGTTTTGCCATCAACGCAAGGATAACGCGCCGTTTTTGCAGAGCATATATGAATCCCTAAATCCCATATTGTTGTCGACGAAACCTGACAATAAAAAGGTTTATACTCAATATTATGACGTGTTACACCATGCATACAATAGCATAGCAAAATGTGAATCTGTTTTCGCGGCCTAATGCGTTTGTTGAAGCAGTTACGATTGGGGGTTTGTTTTCAAAGAAAATAACTGTGTTATCATTTCATATAGAAGAATCATACCTAGGCCTACATCTTACCTTATATACAAACAATACACATATACTTATATACGAACAATACTTATATATGTATATTATGTAAATTAGCTTAACATCTGTAAAAGGCCTTCCCACGATAATAACTACGGTATAACAGCTATGCTTACCCAAGGGAATCCAATGTGATCTGATGCTTCGACAACGTACTGCATTGATGGCGGTCAGTTTATATAAACATCCAAATCTGTTCTGTATGCACTATCTTTTGAGGTGGCCCACATTTACTCTGTTGCTAGGCAGTTCCTATCTATTGGTCAATATGGTATTTTACGACAGGTCTACGTGAACCACTCATGCCAACTTCATCTAATATTATAGGCCTTACCTGTACTTGAAAAAAATAAGCTCCCACCGTGTGCTTTACATGCTTTTTTTTTGCTACTTTTAACTCATAACCATCCACGCTTTCTGTGTTGGCAATTCACTTGAATAAATGTAACAGATTGATGACTTTTTACTTCTTTCTACTACTAAGGACAGGTCTTATCTACTATAGGCATGGCATCATATTTCGTATCTTTAGCTTATGATGCATCCCATTATTTCTGCAACCGGATTTACTCTCACAACTTTCAAGTGAGACGATGGCTAAGTGTACCCCCTGGGGCATTAGACACAAAAATATATTACTTAACTTACATATTTAAATAATTCATGCAGAGTATTAGTTTTAGAAAAATTAGAACGAGAACAACTTTTCAAATTTAACAGACTTTTAAAATATTAATATGTACACAGTCTTTGCATAACCATAAATTTCTGCGAGTATATTTTTTTGTAATAAATCGTTTGTAAACCATTAAATTGTTTTTCAACCTTTGAATTAACGGGAGTTTTTAATTGCTGCGAAGCAGCCAATTCATATTCTTGACAGCAATTTGACCTCTGAAAGGTTATTGTTTGTCAAAAAACTATCGCCTAAGACAACTGAAAAGCGGAGTTTCCTTCTTTCGTTCTGCCGGGTAAAATCAATTACTTTAGGCGACGTTTGTAGACTAACCTACTCGTACCCGCGACGCTGGAGTACTATTCAGCGTTTTTACTATATTTCTAGGTTTCCTATTTCTACGTTTAATCGGCTCATGTCTCAGCCACAATATTTTGAGGCCAATATTATTTACGAGCCCAGTTAAACTTATTTACTAGCCTATTTCAACGTGCTAATTATTACATTTAGGCAACGCTTGTTGTAGACTGGCTCTGGCATAGTGTTTTCGGAAATAAATACCATTTTATACACATGCGCAGATCGATTCGCCAGCAGCGAGTCATCGCCAGCAGCAGCAGCGAGTCGCCAGCAGAGAGATGTCACTGCAGCAAAACACTATTGTACACACGCTGTTCTAATAATATATAGACAATGGGTCGTGCTCATATTATTTGTTATATTTTTATTATTCATTATTTTCACTTGACTCACATAAATAATTTTGTTCGAAGAACATTTTATGCAGTTGTACTTCGCAGCACTTCACTTGCAATTTGCAATTTCTAGTTTATGTGGTTTGTTTAAATGAGATGAATATAAAGCTGAAATTTAATTCTATTCAGGGATTATAGGTGGCAGTATGTAAGTACACCATAACGTTACCAGATCATACACCAGGCAGCGCAAGTGCAATACTGTTACCATTATTTATTTTAATCGAATGAACCTCCCCCCCCCCCCCCCCCCCCCCGCAACGTTAATTCTTTCGGGATTTATGAGGGACATTTTTTTTCGAGGAAGAAGCTTAATCGAGGTAGGCGTTTGTTTCCGTGTAAAGGCCCTCGCACTCAAACAAACGCCCCCTCATGTCACTAGAAATTTAGAGCATACCAAATTTTATTTTCAACAAATGTTGGGCCCATTGTAAGATAGCTTATGGTTAGCAAAAAGATTGTTATTCCGCTAGAATAAAAAAAAAAGAAACTGGTAATGGAATGTTGAGAATGGTGTTGCTTCATTAGTTTTGCTCAGTCATAGCGTAGGCCTACACGTTTATTCGAGGGAAAACCCTGTATTTTTTCGAGGGTGTGTGTATTCCAAATGACATTCTTGAGGGGGAGTTATTCTTTTTTTTTGGGGGGGGGGAGGGCGTTTATTCAGATGAAGAGTTCATTTTCGGTAAGAACGACACATCAGGTATTATTAGGTAATCCCTAGCATTTATAAAATGCCTACACGGTTGCTACTGTGTTTTTATCTTAATCGCTACAACTGCGTATCCTTCCCCCGACGCAATCGGTAAGCCACCTCATTTGACCGACCAATCAGCCTACCGTTAATGACGGTACACCGAGTATTTAATTTAGTATGCAATGTATCATTTACCTACTTAGGTATCACCATCTTAAATTTAGTACTGTCCGTACCCATTCTGTCCATGTTGAGTGAAGTTTGTCACCTCACATCGATTCAATCTATTAAATTCTTATTGTGAACGGTTTGGTTGGACATTAACCATTAGAAATACATTTACCGGGAGTTATATTATCTGTTAATGGTAAACACTTCACACTTGGTTGAATTTCCTTGCAGTGAGCGTACATTGTACCATTACATTATCAATTATACTCAAAATTGGTCCATCGATCTTAAATACATCAATCCGGTCCATTAATGTTGATACATTACCAAATTCTTTGGAATGTACATAATTTTGCCTAACGATACTACTTTTTGCTATACATTATATAGGTACGGTACTATATTATAGGCATATAAATCGGTACAATATAATATATATTTTGTAATCATACACTAGGTCCTATTAAAAGAAACTTGCTATCGACGCCAGAAGCTTTTCGGAAGAAAGAAATGGTGCAAGGGTAAGAAGGAAAGAAGAGTTCTTAGTCTTCGGAGTGGGGTGGAGGAAAAATAACGCGCGTTATTTTGTGTACATAATTATATCGAAGAGCAGAAGTCTTGAAAGACTGAGAAATATGAGTAGGTGAAAATATGTGTGCTTATTGATTAGTGGTTGTATTACTGTTCATAGTATTCGAAGCATTTGAATTGCTACTGATGAGGGAAAAAAAAGTAAATTTCAATCAATTTATAGTTTGAAAAGAAAAGATGCACGCTACGCATGCACTAGTTACTTCTGTACTTTAACTGGAATAAAAGTATACCGATGTCTACAGCGCGGCTAATCTGCAGTTATCTGTAAAGCAACAATCAAACTTGAAGCATTATACAGAATGAACATTATATCAAACCGTGTACGTCCAATACCGACTATAAATAGAGGTAACAATAGCCCTACATCAAAAATCAGTGTTATAGACTTACCTGATGAAGATTCACCAGGGCGTTCTTTCACAACATCCTCAACAGTTAATATAACGCTGCATAACAAACCTGTAGATCTTCAACAGGAACTGGTCATCCTTTACAAATGGATGATGTATTTTGGAATTGGATGTCCTGTGCGTCTGCTCAAAAAGACAAGACTTCATCTATACCGTCTATACTCGACTGCCGTACTCGCTCTTCTTTGGTTTAATTTTCTTAGAAGCGCAACTGGAATAATGTACATTGAACGTGACGACTTTGTCGCGCAAGTCGTCATCTCGGCATGGTTCCTGCAGTGCGCATTGAAAGCGACCATTTGGTTCTGTAGGGACATAAAACCTTCGGCAACCGAAGACTTCTTTAAGCACTGGAAGACAATCTGCCAAAGTCAAGTGAGTCTGCAATATGGCCTAGGAATCAACCAGCCTAAACTTCAAAGATCAATCCGACTCACTATTGCTGCTATAATACTTTTATGCATAATAAATACAAGCATTATATTTTTTGCAAGAGTCGGACCGATCGAAGAAACGAGAAATGAGACGACGCACTACTACGCCCCATTACCATCCGATGCTCAGATTCCTCTAATGGCGCTTATTCCATTCGAGACAGCAGTTTATTTCTTTCCCGTTGCTGAATTCGTCCTCATTTCCAAAGTGCTGACAAAACAATTTGAAAATCTCAGATTTGTTGTAACAGAATGTCTGAAGAAAAAAGGAAGTTTGATAGAGTTATTCCTCGGAAACATCAGGGCCGAGCACCAACATCTGGCTAAAGCTGTTTACATAGCCGACAAAACATTCAGTTTGTACCTAGCGATTGAATATTCGACAACAATCGCTATACTCACATTTTTGCTCTATCAGCTTCTCATAATTCATAATCAGTTCTCTCCATTCGGATACAGCATGCTGGTAATTTGGGCCAGTGCGGTGGCATTGGTCATCTCAATCATTTCATGGTTTGCAGCTGTAATGCATGAACAGGTAGGTAACTTAAAAACTGTCGAATTAAATTGAAATTCACCAACTCCAACACACAAAACTAGAAACGGCTGCACAAAGCGATTTGAAAAGAATAAAACAGTAAAACGACCCCTCATTTACTGGATATGTAGTCATAATAATAATAATAATTGTCAATTTGTATAGCGAATGTTTTTTTTTAACTTTTTGTCCTGTCGGGGACAAATTGAGACAAGCTTTGCTTCTTTATTTATCATTTTATGTATTTGATTAATTAATTGAATAAATGTTAATTGAATTGAATGTAAAATAACTCTATGCGCTTTAGAGCATGATGTGGTAAAAATTATTAAAAGTTTCACCTAACAAAAATAATGAGTAATAATAATGAATAACCAAAATAAAAAATAAATATATAATGTTAATAAATAAATAATTTGAAAATAGAGAATTTTATTTACTTTTTAAAAAAATAATTGTTAAATATTTATTTCCTTAGTCGTATTTCCTTACTTACCTTTTACTCTTTTTTCCATTTCTTTTTTCCCCTTTTCTTTTATTTTCTTTAAATTACGACCCGTCTCTCTTTTCCTTTACGTCCCTGTAATTTCTTTCGTTACCTTTTCTTCCCATACCCCCTATTCCTCCTTACATTTTTCATTTTTCTACTTCTTTTCATGTTTTCCATTTTCTTTACCTTTTCTTACGTTAAAGTTATTGTCAGAAAAATGTTATTAGGACCTATAATAAGATCATAATATCGTCACAGGTAAGCAAACAACTTTATTCTACCAGGATAAAAAATAGTTATAGAATGTTGAGAATGGTGTTGCTTCATTGCATGCTCAGTCATACGTTTATTAGAGGGGGTGTTTTTCTATGGGGTGACGTTCTGAAGGGAGCGTCACTTTCTATGAGGTGTTTATTCAGAGGTGGGGGGGGGGCGTTCATTTGAATACGTTCGGTAAATATACGATACACCAGGTGGTATTAATTGAGTATAGCCTAGTTTCCATAAGATGGGTACACTGTCACACATATTTTCACTGCAATCGTTCACTGCGTATCTGCTCCCGAAGTTGAATAGGTGAGGCTACCATATTCGACCAACCAATCAGCATCGCCGAAATCTGGATAGCTTGTAGCAATTTCATGGAAACCAGGCTTAATGCAGTATCATTAAGTACGGTACACCGAGTACTCATTTTAGTACACAGTTATTTACCTATTTAACAATAGGAATATAATAGATTGAATCGCTGTGAGGTCTTCTACACACGCATGGCAAATTTCACCATAGACATCATGGGTACGGACAGTACTAAATTTAGCACGGTGATGCTTAACAGAGAGGTTGGGTTCGATATAAAATTAGAAACGTAATTTACCTCGAAGTTTTTTTTATATTATCCGTTAATGGTGCACACTTCACACTTGGTTGAATGTTCGTGCCGTGCACATTGTATCATGACATTATCAATTATCCTCAAAATTGGTCCATCGATCTTGAATACATCAATATTCGTCCGGCGGTCCATTAGTGTTGATACGTGACCAGATTCTTCGGAAAGTACATAAATATATATAGGCCTATACAAGATGACACTTAGTTGTTGTGTCATAAATGTAACAAATTTATTGAAATTTAAACCTGTTTATTTGTATCTGTGCAGCATGAAAACGTGTATATTAATTGAAACGTAACAGTATATATCCTCATATAATTATATACTTACTTATATACATACGGTACGGTACCATATTATAGGCCTATAGTAAATCGTTACCGTACAATAATACATTTTTTGTGGCTATATGTCTTATTAATATAAATAAAAGTAACTTGTTACCGAAATTAAAGTTAAGATGGTAGGAAAGTTCTGAAGTTTTAGGAGGAAGAAAACACGCGACATTCTTTTGTGTGCATAATTAATAGGGAAACAGAAGTCTGCAAAACTGAGAAATATGAGTAGTTTAAAATATATGTGCTTATTGATTAGTGGTTGTATTATTGTTCATAGTATTCGAAGCAATTGAATTTCAACTAATGAGGAATCCATGACCGCAATCTTCAATCAATTCATAGTTTCAAAAAAAGTATACAGTATACGTGTTTACAAACACAGTACACTACACTTTACGGGAATAAGTATACCCATGTCTTCAGTGCATCTATCTGTCTTTTATCTGTAAACCAACAATTAAACTTGAAGCATTATACAGAATGAATATTATATCAAACCGTATACGTCCCATACCGACCATGAGTACAGGTAACAATAGCCCTACACCAAAAATCAGTGTTATAGACTTACATGATGAAGATTTACTCGGACGTTCTTTCACAACATACCCAACAGTTGATAAAACCCCACATTACAAACCTGTGGATCTTCAACAGGAACTGGTCATCCTTTACAAATGGATGATGTATTTTGGAATTGGATGTCCTGTGCGTCTGCTAAAAAACTCAAGACTTCATCTACACCGTATATACTCGACTGCCGTACTCGTTCTTCTTTGGTTTAATTTTCTTAGAAGCGCAATTGGAATGAAATACGTTGACCGAGATGATTTTGTCGCGCAAGTCGTCAGCACGGCATGGTTCTTGCAGTGCGCATTGAAAGCAACCATCTGGTTCTGTCGAGATATCAAACCTTCGGCAACCGACGACTTTTTCAGGCACTGGAACACACTCTGCCAAAGTCAAGTGAGTCTCCAATATGGCCTAGGAATCAACCAGCCTAAACTTCAAAGATCAATCCGACTCATTATCGCTGCTATAACACTTTTATGCATAATACATACAAGCATTATTTTCTTTGCAAGAGTCGGACCGATCGAAGTGACGAGGAATGAGACGACGTACTACTACGTCCCGTTACCATCGGACACTCAGATTCCTCTAATGGCGCTGATTCCATTTAAGACGGCAGTTTATTTCTTTCCCGTTGCTGAATTCGTCCTCATTTCCAAAGTACTAACAAGACAATTTGTAAATCTCAGAATTGTTGTAACAGAATATCTGAATAAAAAAGGGAGTTTGATGGAGTCGTCCCTCGGACACATCAGAGCCGAGCACCAGCATCTGGCTGACGCTGTTTACAAAGCCGACCAAACATTCAGTCTGTACCTAGCGATTGAATATTCGACAACTATCGCTATACTGACATTTCTACTCTATCAGCTTCTTATAATTCATAATCAATTCTCTCCACTCGGATACAGCTTGTTGGTAATTTGGGCCAGTGCGGTGGCATTGGTCGTCTCAGTTATTTCCTGGTTTGCAGCTGTAATGCATGAACAGGTAGGTAACTTAAAAAGTGTAATCGTAGCTCAAAAAGTGTCATCATAACTTAAAAAGTTTTATCGTACCTTAAAAAGTGTCATCGTAACTCTTCGCCAATTCACAGCACGTACAATGCGTTCGAACGTAACATGTACGTACGTCTACACTGACGTAACATGAATGAACCTAGTACATAATTGTATCTTGTATGTCAAATATTGTATACAAATATTTCACTTGAACTGTAACGTACATATAAAAATTTCTGCAGGGGCCTCCATGATAAACGCACAGTGTCGTCTTACTGGGCTTCCCTTGGTTAGGATGCCGTGTATACAACAATGCTGACGATTCTGCGGCTTTGGAGGTTATACCGTACTGTTTCGGTTGAAGATACTGTCAAATTAAAAATTACACAAAGCGTTCATACATCTTGTTTTAAATTGTTAAAATCTATACTACTTTACATAAATTGAAGTTTAACCAAAAATATAAAACAGTCGAAAGCTGAATGACGAGTGCGCTATTTTAATTGTTGTCAATATTTTCTCTTTTACTACAATTATGTTTTAACGTTTAAATAAAAAAGGCTCCTGATAGGAACATGAACGTACTGCATAAACTAGCGTTTTAAAGGTACTGTATAGTTTCTTGACAATGCTACATTAAGTTCAATAGGGTCAAAATTATGATAAACATAGTCTATTATCAGACAAGGCGCTATCAGCCATTGGTCATCTGTATGGCGAGCCGAGTTGTAATCGTAAACAGAGATATCTCTATTTAAAACTAAGATATCTATTTCAAATAGATATCTATAGTTTCAAATAGAGATATCTTAGTTTTAGAGATATCTCTATTATTAAAGATATCTCTATTAACATAGATATCGCTATTTCAAACTAAGATATCTATGTAAAATGGAGATATATCTCTATGTAAAACTATATATATATATATAAATATCTCTATTAATAGAGATATCTTAGTTAAAACTAAGATATCTTAGTTTAAACTAAGATATCTCTAAATAAAACCAAGATATCTCTATTTACGATTAAATGACTCGGCTCGCCATACATCTGCCAAACCGTAGGACCAATTACCAACCTGTGATAATACTACATTCACACTGTTACTGTGTAATGTCGGGAAAATAATACTCATTTCTTTTTAAATCAGGCGCACGAGATTGTTCATTTTATCCATTCTGTGACTGTACCTTCAGAGCCAACGGGTAAATACATTATGGAGGTGAGTTTTCAGAAGAAAAAAATGGTTTCATTTGAGTTATTTGGCCGAAAGTAGGCCTGTGCTAAAGTTTCAATATAGGTCTACGTTTAGACACAATGCATAACGTTAACACCAGACATTAAGTTACTACAGTATAGATAATATCGGCACCATTTGAAATGTTTTTGCAGTATTATCAGTTGGTACGGTACGTTTTAATTTTCTACACTAATCATTCCCTGCCATTTTTTTTTCTTCAGATGAATATGTTATTGGCAAAACTTAATGGAACTAGCATTGCGTTTTCAGTGTATACTTTGCTACCAATCACAAAAGCTTTCATCTTAACCGTGAGTTTTTTTAAGTGTGTTTTATTTAACCAGATATTCTGATAAACATTCAGTTACCACCCCTCACTCTATTACTATCATAAAGTCATTCAATGCAATAAGTCTTTTCCAATATAAAATTTTCATTTTCTACCAAAACAAATGGATTCATGTGACCAGTTCTGGCAAAACTGTACATTTATGGGTAAAATTCAAAATTTTAGGTATTTCAAAATTATACATGTATTATAGAAGTACTTTATTTATTTAATGGAAATTGTTAGAGTATTATACGAAGTTATAAATTGATATCATGAATTCCAAAGTCAGCAATGTGGGCCTTTTTAATGTGTATATTTTTTCAGTCTTTTCCAGTTAGATATGTTGATTGATTTGGCAAATTTGTTCCATCATATCCTTTTCCATAAACTGTTAAAACCTAAAAAATCAGTCGATGCCGATTCTCGGACGTTTTCGCTGCTAACGCAAAATTTGCAAACGTTTTTCCAGAGCCCCCAGTCTATAGGCCTAGTAATATTATTTTTTGCTATTGATCATATCCGTGAATTATTGCTCTAATATAAAAAAGACGATTCTACAGTATTAAAATTCTTTATGAGCACAAAAGAATCGTCACGGTTTGATTAATATTATTTTTTTACAGATTGTTGGTGTCATGGTGACGTATTTTGCTATAGCCGCACAATCGGTGGAATTCATAGTAGAGACTTATACGTAATTTCGTGTTATTTTAATGCTCAAAAGAGCTTTTGTTTGTTTCTATTTCATTAATTATTTAAGTACGTCGACTTAGTAGAAGACTACCTTTATAAGAAAAAAATAATATTACAAGGCACTACAAAAGTGTAGATGAATAGCTTGGTGGTTAAGATGCTCGCCTTACAATCCCAGGATCCTGGGTTCAATTCCTATCGGTGTTGCAGAATATTTTTTTTTATCAAGCATCTCCAGTGCCTACACCTTATACTGAAATTTAGTTTGTGTAAAGCATCGTGTGTGTATGTTTGTCTTGTGAAAAGGATTGTCACTTACAAGCACGGCAGTGATATTATTCGCGATTGACAATTAGTGCATGTGTTGTGTGTCAAAAAGAATTTTAAAAAGAAAGTAAATAGCGCTGTTTTAACTTTTTAAATTGTGTATAAAGGTAAACTTTATTTCGTATGTACATATATTTACAATGTTTATAACTACAATTTGCAATATAAAACTTCAATGGCGGTAGTCTATCAGGTTAACGATTAAAAAATAATTATAAACGGCCACCATCAGAAATGTTTGTGGTGTTTGTAACAATTTCTTTTATAAATAAATAGGCCTACCACAGTAACATAAATGCATAACCATGACAAAACTAAAAGTTGAACTGCCACGAAAAATCGTCTCACCCAGAAGTGAATTTACATTAGACAAAATCAATTAGGTATGGAGAATTATTTCATATCAATGTCATACAATGGTTTTACAGAAAAAACGAATTGTCACAATTATTAGAGAAGCAATCCGTTACACCTTCTAATCGTTAACCTCACTACTTACTGTAACAGTTAACCTTATAGTTTCAGTCCTAAATGTGAACATATTGTGAATTATCGATGTTTACCAGTTGTAAAGCAGAAACGCAGCTGTATGACGACGATGTATTGTAATCAATGAGGTATACAAACATTATGATGCGGTTGTAAATAAATATCACAAATTCGCTACAGATTTTGAATATCATACTTTCTCTTCTCCATCTTTGACTTTTAATTGCTTAATTCCTTTCCAGTAGTAGAATTTATCGAAAGTACTCTTGTATTTCTTGATAAACATTTGTCGAAGATCATTGTTGGTTGTTATTGTTCTGGTAACAGGCGTTGGATTGGCAGCAACAGCACCCAAGTTGAACACAGGCCAAATACTATTAAAACAAGTAATAAAGAGGCAAATAAAAGATACAAAATGTATAATGTAGACTTATTGATAAAAATAATAATTACATAACTAGTAATAATATTATTATTATTAATGTAATATCTATTTGAAATTATAAACTGATATACTGTATCAGTGTTAATATAATGGTTGTTTAGCTAAGCCCCATCACTTGCACATGTTTATGGTCAGGTTCATTCAATAACACATTCTGACTAGATAGTTGTTAAGTTTGATTGACATTCCTGAAAATTTAATTACAATAAAATTAGTTACATCAGGATGAATGCTCCCTGGTTTAATTTTTTTTTTCAATGTGTTATAAAGGAAAATTACAAAAAAAAACACCCAAGAGATCAGAGCAAATCTTTGGGTAGACTAGATCCAACTGCTGATTAATGGAATAAATACAATCAATTGTACAAATAAATACATAAAAGCTTGTTTACTTACTCTTCCCTTTTGGTAAAATCATCTGCTTTAAATTTTGTAGGATATTGGCGGGCAGGTGACTGACCCAGAACAACAATGTTTAAAAGATCAACAGCTTTTTCTCGTTTTATGTCTAAATAGTTGCACGTGTTCACAAATGCATACAAAATCATTTCCACCCACTTTTCATTGGTTTCAACAACAGCATCTTAAAAAAAACCAAAAAAACAAACATAAAAGTTGATGTGCAGTACAGTATATGAATATATTTTTCTGCTGTTTTTTTTTTCTCAAGTGCCTTGAGCATTTCTTAAAAATGAATATGAGTGCTATACAAACCTTATTAATTATTATATTATATTATTATTATTTATTTAAATATTTTCATCTGTCAGGCAGAATATATTATAGACACTATGTTGTCTTGATCAATGCAAATCATATTGATATGATTCCACCAGCCTTTACAAGTCCATCCTTTAATGTCATCTTTCCAAATTCATAAGTTCAAAGATACGAATGGCTGATAAGGAAATACTGTATTATTGTATTGTATATATTAGTAATACACTGAACTTGAAGAATATTATAAGGTGATAAAATCTACTCTACATTTACTTTCTTACTTTCAATTATTTTGACCAATATTAAATGTTTTTTTTAATTTCATGAAAGGCAAAATCAACAATAGAAAATGGAATAATGGAATAAGGAATAGAGGGTATAGTAAAGGTTTCTGTAGCAAACATGTGTGTTTTGCCCACATTTTGTGTGTAATTACACAAAGATCTTATAAACACAAGACGGCGTTCTCCACGATTTATGTGTAACAAAAAGAAGCGCCGATTTCGCACAGAAAAGTAATCACTTTTGGGAGACGGCGTCCTTGTCGTTGCCATGGATCTGTGATAGGGTGTTTCAGGCTAGCCAAAGTTTGTTACCAAGTACGTTAATTGTTCCTTAGTTGTTCTAAAGAAAGTGTGCATTGTAAATCGGACGCTTCTAATTGTTACGCATAAACGTAAAGTCACACGTTGTACAGTATATGGGTGTGAAGGTGTGGTAGGATATAATGCCCATGCCCAAATAAGGACAGATAGTTTTTACAGAAAACTTCATAGCATGGACAAAGGTTTTAAGGCAAGGGCAGTGGCTTGAAAAAAATTATAATTTTTGTATCTAGTGACAATGCTGGTAAATAAGCCTTGTAAAAAATACTGATAACATCATAATGTAGTACCATGTTTGGTGCTTGCGAGAGGACATGTGACCTCAACCTGTTCAGGGTTCTCTAAGGATGTATTCACATCCAATGTCCTATTCCATGGTGCACCAGAATTCTTCATCTGCCAGGTTATCTCGGGTTGGATAATGTTGGAAAACTGGATGAGTTGGCGAAGACGTTGGATAGGAACTGAGCTCAGAAAACTGTAGATAATGGTATGTTCCTTCAGGTGGCCGATAACATCTTTGGCCACCGTTGGGAGTTGAGATGGCAGAACACATAGGAATAACACATCCACAGATGATGCTAGAAGCTGGTTATCATTGAAGCAACAGATGCCCCTTTCTTTAAGCGAAGCTTAAAATAAAAACAGAGTCAGACTTAAATCTTGAATTGAAATGGTTTTCATTATTATATTCAAATAATAAACATAATGTAAGTGAATAGAGAGGCCTTAGGAATTTCCCCCCTTCTTAGACTAGAATGACAAAACCACACTTACCAAGGGTTTCTGGTCTTCGAGTTGACACTTTCATATCCTCATTACTAACATCAGCATATGTAAAAAGACAGTTGGCTAGATGAAGTCCTAGGCGACCACACCCAAGAATTCCAACCCTAGTGGGGTCCCTTGGAGTAGCTTCCTGAAGAAACTTAGATGTCTTTGATACATAAGGGGTCTTTGCCTCCAGTATACGTTTTCTAAATAGTAAAAAAATATCTTATTCTTAGACTAGTAATAGTTATTGAATTGAAGGCACAGCATTCTATCCTAAAAAAAAAAAAAACAACACCATCTTGAAGAAATGGCAATAGAAAAGCTTTTTTCACATATTTATACTACATGGGTCTCCCTCCAATTAAAGACCACTTTCCTAGGGTGGGTCCCCCCCCCCACACTCTACAGACCTGCTGGCAAAAAATGGGATAGGCTCAGACGTTTCAACACCTGAAAATCATGAATATCACGTTAAATGCGGACACTTTTCAGGACTGCCGAAATGTTGAATATCCAATATAGCACTTTCAAAGTGATCTTTTGAGGTGTCAGAAAGCCTTTTTACTGAGTATGAGGTATTCTTTGTTTGTTCGTACACCCCAACATCAAAAGTAGATGGACAAAAAGATAATTGACACCAAAATACTGTACTCAATTAAATTGGCAACAAAATAGGTCCCCAACTAAGTAATTTGCTGTTTTTGTTTTTTTAATTCGTAAAACTGGGAGATTGCATAAAACAACATGTTTCAAACCAACATGTTGTTCAGGAGACAAACGATCATATTGCCGATCTGGAGTGTTGGAAAGTGTAGGGTCTAGCTTTAGGCGGCACTAGGTCTAGGCCTAGGGGGGGCC